AGAGGAACAAAAGTTACTTCTTGAAAGAAAAGCCAGCAGGAAAAAACAACAACAACAACAGCAAAACAAAACAAAACAAAAAAACACTACAGACTGACTATTACAAGAACAAACAAGCTATACACCTGGGAGCTATCTAGGCAAGCCATCAAGGCCCTTCAGAACAAACCTCCTTCCAAGACTGAAACTTAAAAGGAACACAGGAGCAGGGTTGTAAGCTCGCTGGTGACCACGTTGGTCTGCTTGTGAGTGAAAGTTGGGGAAAGGCAGTGATGAAGACATAGGCTGAGTCCTACCATGTTCCATAGACTTGAGATGAGAGAGAGAAGAGGAAGGACTGGTTATTCCAAAGTTTAGGGAGACTTGGGAACTCCTGAGCCCATGGACACTGACCTAGTCCCTGGAGGCTAGAGCTGAGAGTGGCGCATCCAGCTAATTATGAAGTAGGGAGAGGCATGCAAGGACACCCAAACTTGCAGATAGTATCTATTTGACCTAGCTTGGAAGGCTTAATAATCAGAACTCAACTAGAGGAAGACAAAGAAGTTTGATACAGGAAGGAAGTGTAAATTGCTACAATTTGATGAACTGGACCTTGGTTGTTCAAAATACCAACCAAGAGGGAAGGAGTCTTCACATCAAGGACCAACCCCATCCCCTCAGTACACAGGATTAATAGGGATGGGCAACTTAGACTAAAATGGGGGTGGTGATGGCTATAAAGGCATGAAGTGACTGGCTTACAAGTTTTTAAGAGGGAGTTTCGTTTCAGAGTGAGCAGGGGAAATTAGAATCCCCAAGGAATAGTTTTCATCTTGTCTGGAGGGTTTGGTCTGGTGAAAGGAGATGGGGATTGGATTCTTTCTATGCAATAGTGAGTAATTGCTATCATGACTAATTGTGATTGTCACAACTGTAAAAGTAGAAGATGTATAATAAAAAGGGAGTAGTAGTTAATCTTACATTCCAGAAACAGAGGACCCTAGGACCACCAGGAGGGAAGAGCATGAACAGAATGTGGAATCCTAACCAGAGAAGCTGCTCCTTGGAAACCCTATACAGGGTCACTATGGGTCAGAATCGACTCAATGGCACTCAACAACAACAACAACCAGAGAAGCAACGACACCAGAGATGGAGGCAGACATGAGGACATGGAGAGATAGAGCAGCTGAGGACTCTAGTCTCACAGAAAGAAAAAGGCTGTGTGTTAGCGGGCAGGAGGCAGGCTTGCAAAGTGTGCCCTTTGGTTGTTTAAGTGATTATATATTCCTATGTGTTTTTATGTACATTAAAAAAAAAAGAGGAAATGGAGGCAAATACTGTTAACAAATGACGCATGGAAGGGATTGTAATCATTGCAATGAAACAAAATATGATTGGTTGAGTGCAAAACCAATGTTCTCCCATGTGAACTACCACTCTATTCACAATAAAGTTTTTTTGTTTTTTTTTTAAAAAGGTACTTGCAATGACAAAGTCTTTGGTCTTGCAAAATTCTATCATGCAATCTCCAGCATCATTTCTATCACCAAGGCCATATTTTCCAACTACCGATCCCTTCTCTTTTTTTCCAACCTTTGCATTCCAATCACCAGTAATTACCAGTACCTCTTGATTGCATGTTTGATCTATTTTAGACTGAAGAAGTTGGTAGAATTCTTCAATTTCATTATCACTGACTTTAGTGGTCAATGTGTAAATTTGAATAATAATGGTATTTACTGGTCTTCCTTGTTGTTGTTGTTAAGTGCTGTTGAGTCAGTTCTAACTCATAGTCACCCTGTGTAGGGTTTCTGAGGAGCAGCTGGTAGGTTTGAACTGGCAACCTTGTGACTCACAGTGCAGTGCTGAACCTACAGCACTATACCAGGTCTTCCTTGTAGGTCTGTGGATATTCTCCTATCACAGACAGCATTATACTTCAAGATAAATCTTGAAATGTTCTTGATGATGAATGTGAGACCATTCCTCTTCAATGTGTCATTCCTGGCATAGTCAGATTTAACATGGCCAATACCAGTCCATTTCAGCTCACTAATGCCTAGGACATCCATCTTTATGTGTCCCATTTCATTTTTGACAACTTCCAATTTTCCAGAATTCTGGTGTAGTGCTTAAGATACGCATTGGATTACTCACTGAAAGGAGTCCTGGTGTGGTGCTGTGGGTTAATGCTCTGGACTGCAAAGTTGGTTTGAGCTACAAGGTTGGCAGTTCAAGGTCACCAGCCGCTCCTAGGAAATCCTATGTAGGGTCGCTATGAGTCGATACCAACTCGATGACACTGAACAACAACAACAACACTAACTGAAATGTCAGCTGTTGGAACCTACCAGTTGCTCCTGGGAAACCCTATTCGGGTTCACTATGAATCGGAACCAACTCGACGGCACTTAGCAACAACAATTTTCCTAGATTCATACTTTGTACATTCCATGTTCCTATTATTAATGGATGTTTGCAGCTGTTTCTCCTCATTCTTAGTTGTGCCCCATCAGCAAATGAAGGTATTCCTTTCACGTCGTCATGGTCAACTCTATTTTGAGGAGGCAGCTCTTCCCCAGTCGTATTTTGAGTGCCTGCCAACCTGATCTTCCAGCATGATATCTGACAGTGTTATGGTATTATCCATCATGTTTTAATATTCTGGTGCTACCTGACAGTGTTCCACTGTATTCATAAGGTTTTCAGTGGCTAAACATTTGGAGTCCTGGTGTGGTGCTGTAGGATAAATACTGGACCGCAAGGTTGCTTTGAATCACAAGGGCGGAGGTTCGAACTCATCAGCTGCTCCTTGGAAACCCTATACAGAGTTGCTATAAGTCAGAACCAACTAGACATCACTTAACAACAACAAACATTGGGAAATGGTCCACCTTTTCTTCTCAGACTAAGATGGGTTAGTAGCCTGTTAACTCCCTAATAAATCCCGAAATCTGAATATGGACTATGAGTTCTGTGTGGCTACTGCAGCGAATGACCAACCCCAGCGGAGAGGTGGAGGCCATGGGAGGGACTGCTGGAGTCAGGATTGGTGGAAAAGTTGATAGATGAAGGTTTGTCTGACCTCTTCCTCACGGGGCTCAACCTTGGATTGATGCTGCCCACTAAAGTTTGGTGAGGTCAGGGCTGTCCAGGAGGAAGGAAGCCAGCCCCTTGGAAGCCAAGTCAGACCCACTTAGGTTCAGATGTTCCCTGCCCTTCTGAGAGGCCAAAACCCCTGTGCCGACCTAGCCCGGTTTATGCGTGGCCCAGTGACTCACTGCCTAGCTCCAAGTGCCCGCCCTTGCTAAGGTCTTGGCATGTGACCAGCAGACACCCCAAACCCCAGTGGAATTGGGGCATGACTAGGCACTGGTTACGTGTCTACCGCTCCCTTCCCCCCTAGAGGTTCCAGAAAACCCGGTCGGACTTCAAGCTGGGCCTCGGCATTGCCCAGGGGCTGCCTGGGGACAAAGCCTGAACTAGTGAGTGGATACCCTACAATGTCCTGAACCCCCCTCCCTCCTTCTGTGGACAAGGCACAGCTGGAGGACCACCATGAGAGCCATTAGGCATTTTCTCCAAGTGTTCTGTGGTCCAGCCTGGCACATAAGTGGGGGCAGCTGCCGCCGCAGCCCACACTGTGCGCGCATGCCCTGTGGAGTTCTGTGCAGAAGGGTTTTGATGAGACCACCCACGTGGTCCTGTGCCAGGCTTGGGAGAGGTGCCCACTGTGTCAGTGTGTCCTCAGGCCACAGGAGGACGAGAGCCAGCCTCTCCAGTCCCTCAGCCTTCCCAGCAGTCCCCCACACCAGCAGCCCCCACTTCCCAATGATGCTGTGGCCACACAGCCAGATGCCTGGAGGGGGGCACACAGCCCCAGGGCCAGAGCTACTGTGAGGACAGAGAGGGGCGTGGGCTGTCAGCAGAGCAGCTATTTCAGGGGTCCCTGTGCACCCCGGCTCCACATTTGTTCCCATAGCTCAATGCAGCAGCAACACAACGGGGTAACTGCAGGTCAAACTATGACCTGCCTGCAGTCCCCCACACTCGGGCCACTCCTGGTCACTCTGTCCCCCTCCCCACAGTTGTCCCTCCTGCCCTGCCTCCCCACTGCCTTCCTGGGATGCAGGGCTAGGAACAGGCCTGGTGACATTCTAGACCCAAGGCTGAGATTCTCAGTGTAGGAGATTCCCACCCACCCGTCCTGGCATGAAGGCCAGTTCCAGGCATGGCCTTGCAGGCACTGAGGGGCAGCTCCTTGGTTTCTGCCCACTTCCTCCTCACCTTAGTCCCCAGAACACAGCACCATCCCCATACACCGAGACTGAGTTTTATTGGGGCATGTGTGTAGTCTGTGTGTAGTCTGTGTGTAGTCTGCGTGTAGTCTGCGTGTAGTCTGCGTGTAGTCTGTGTAATCTGTGTGTAGTCTATGTCCCCACATGAAACTCCAGCCTTTCTGAGTCCTGGTCACTGCTGTGTCCACGTGTCTGACACATTGGTAGGGCCAAGAATACATGCAAGAACGCTCCTGGAGCAGGGCCGAGAACACACATGCGCATTCCATTCATGGATTCTGTCTGGGTCTCCGCGTCGTCTCTGTGCAGCTCTGGTATCACATCTGTCTACACCAGCTCTCCTCGGTCCTGGGTGGACTATAGAGCCAGACATGCAGCAGAGGAGTGTACGGGGTTTCCAGGGAGCAGACTCAGGCCTTGGCACTGTGAGTTAATGCACTAGACTGCAAAGTCAGTTTGAACCGCAAGGTCAGTGGTTCAAGCTCACCAGCCACTCCTTGGAAACCCTGTACAGGTTTGCTATGGGTCAGAACAGATTCTATAGCACTTAACATCAACAACAAGGCTCTGGTCATGCTGGGATCCTGTCCACTGCCAGCTGGCTGCCCATGGAACAAGGTCACATGGGGTGAAGTGGGGGCAGGGTCTTGGCTGTGAGGAGCCCCAAAAGGCCTCAGGGCTGGGCCCCTACCTGTGGCCTCAGGAGACACCACTGGCCTAGTCCCAGGGCCAGAAGAGCTGGACCGCAGCTGCCACCAAAATGACCCCGAGGGTCAGCGCCACAAAGACAACGCTGGCCACCCAGACGTCAAAGCTCTGTGCCTGCTTCTGGGCTGGTGCTTCGGCTGGAATCATGTTGGTCAGGTTGAGCATGTAGCCCAGCGTCCAGCCTATGTCGGTCCCGCCGGCCTGGGGACAGGCATCTGGTCAGAGCTCCAGAGAGCAGCCCCAACTCCCTACTCACCGCAGCCAGGCTGAAGGTGGGGTCTGAAGGTCACCTGTCTGCGGAACTCGATGCTGGGCCAGGTCTGCTCTGTGAAGCCGTAGCCTTCCAGCAGGAGCGTGAAAATGTAGAGACCTGAGGCGCAGTAGTCCCGAAGCCAGCGGTGGTCCTCAGGGTAGCTTGCGTCCACCTGTTGCCAGGGAGGCCAAGGCATCAGGGGTTGGGGAGGTGGGCCTGGGACCCCCCCAGAAGCCAAGCATCACAGTGATGGATGGGGGCCATCCACTGGCCAGGCTGAATGGCCAACAGATGGAGGGGTTGGGGGCCTGGGCAGTCAGCAGACAGCTCTCCCCAGCAGCTCTTTTGGAGTGTCTCATGGAATCTGCCAAGAGGAGCCCCTATTTCATGCTGACCAGACTGGAGGCTTCTACCAGAGCAGGGTAACCATGGCTGCCTTCCCTCCCATGGGCTCCCCCAGACCCTGCTGTCCACACCCACCCTGGTTCTGTCCCCTTGGAAGCAGAGGCACTCACCACCTTCCAGGGCTGCTGACAGAACCTCCAGATGGTGGTGTTGACTGAGTCCAGCGATTGCCCGGAGGTGATGTTCAGGAAGTGGAAGGTGTAATAGAAGTTGGCAAAGGCCTAAGGGTGAGAATGCAGCGGGGACGTCCTGCTCTAGGGCTGGGGGCCAGCAGGGACCCCACACCACCCGCGCCGAGGACAGTGAGAGGCGCTCACATAGAAACGACCTTGCACCGGGGGCTGGTAGACCCCGTCAAACGCGCAGTCTTTTCGGCCCACACAGCCGGAGAAGTTGAAGAGCTCCCTGATGGCCGAGATGCAGGTCCCGGGGTTCCCCAAGCCCTCAAGGGTGATGTTCCGGGCGGCCCCACCGGGAGGTGAGGCGCCGACACAGGGTGTGTCGAACACGGGTGCCAAGGGTACCGTGGCGAGGTAGCCGCTGTGATAGCAGGGGTGGCGAACTGGGCCGGATGGACTGGCCTGCGGGGGACCGGGTCTGAGCACCGCGGGACACGGCGACCCCCACCCCCTGTCTCACGGGTCTGACCTGCACCAGGCGGGCCAGCAGCCGGTTCAGCATCTGGTCACGGCCGAAGCACAGATAGCTGTGTGTGTAGACACTGTAGTTGGAACCATAGAGGCGGAGGGTGGCCTCTGTGCTGGTGTCCAGGATGGGGCCCCCGGGAACGAAGGAGATCTGCGTGGACGCCCCACCCATGTCCAAGGCGCCCACCAGCGTTGCCTCGGGGGGTCGGACCCACTCTCCGGAGAAGGTGTACTGAACACAGACAGGGCTCCTTCAGACCCCATGTGACCCTAGTCCCACCCCATCCACAAGTTCTGCCCTTCACACCCTAACCCACCCCCACCCCTCAGGGGGACAGGGGCACCGTGAGCAGCATCCCCAGGACGTAGTTGATTGTGATCCAACTAAAGGCGCCTTCGTCCAGCCCGGTCAGGAGCGTGGCGCCCCGAAAATCCACGGGGGACTGGTTCAGGACCCGAGTGACTTCCGCGAAGATACGCTCAGCCTGAGAGTTGTTCTTCAAGCTGGACAAAGGTAAAGGCCGCGTTGGCTGAAGCCAGGGTGTTCCTACTCCATCTACCTCGGAGTCTGTGAGCACAAGCCTCACCTGAGCAGCCTCATGCCGGCTGTGGCTCCCAGAAACATGGGCGTCTTCGGGTGCTGTGCCTTGGGGATCAACGCCAGTGCCTCCTCCAGGCAGCCCCGCAGGCTCTCACCGGCCTGGGCGGGGTTGGACACATAGGAGGAGATCCCGGGTCCTGGAACAGAGGGCTGGGGCCAGGCTCCCGGCTACTGAGCTGAGACACTAGCTCCTGAGAGGAAGGGTCATTCCAACAAGTGCATGAGGACCAATTGGAAAAGGTGTCTGCAGATGAGAACATCCCGGATTACAAAGGCCCCTAAATTCAAAGAGTGGCTTAATGGTTTGCTAAACACAAGGTCAGTAGTTCAAACCCACCAAACCTCTTGGGGAGAACTCTCGTAAAGGTTTAATCTGAGAAACTCTAAAGAGATTCTATTATGTCCTAGAGAGTGCCTCTGAGTCAGAATTGACCATGGGCAGTGGGTTTTGATGAAAGAGACAGAAGAGGGTGGTGCTGGATTACTCAAAAAACAAGGTAAACATGGGCTTACTTATGTTTACTTACCAATCTGTAGTGAATTCCCCATGGAATTTGGTGGAAAACACGTGAAAGTGCTCTCTACAGATTAGTATGCAAGCATTAATGTTGTTGTTGTTAAGTGCCATCAAGTCAATTCCGACCCATAGTGATCCTGTATAGGATTCCCAAGGAGCAGCTGTTGAGCTTGAACCACTGACCTTGTGGTTCAAAGCGACTTTGCAGTCCAGTGCATTAATCCCCAGCCCATGCTCACTTTGCTGACTGGACACCTTATCCCTGGGAGAACAGAGGACCATTTGACCACAGAAATTGGAGCATTGTGGTCATAAACCAGGAAACACCTGGGGCCACCAGGAGCTGGGAGAGGCCAGATACTGTCCTTCTGTAGAGCCTCGGAGGGGGCTCCACCCAGACACCTGGTTTGGGCTTCTGCCTCCAGAGCTTCAGAGGATGCGTCCTCCTCGTGGTTTGAAGCCCAGCTGGGATATTTTGTTGCAATAGCCCCTAGGATATTCAGGCTGGCTTCCTTCCTTGCTCCCTCAGGTTCCTGGCAGGCAGCTACCCATCAGATGAGAGTAGGTAGTCTTGGGGTCCAGAGACAGGGGCTGCCAAGGGAACTGATGCTGGGAGGCAGGGACATGTAGGAAAGACGAGTGAGTAAGTGGGTCCCGTGGGACATGCAAGGCATGCCGTGTAACCTCTCTGAGTCCGATTTCACTAGGGTGACTTGCTGGTCGTCAGGAAGGTAGAGGACGTAGCTCCTCCCCCGGCTCCACACCTCTCTTCCCCACATGGGACCCCCTACTGCCCACTGACCTTCTGCCTCGCAGGTCAGGGCTTGGCTGACCACACCTGTGTCATTCTCCTTGTCCGCTGGCCACTTGTACACGAAGAGGGATGTGTGGGAGGAGCCAGCATCAAACACAATCCCAAACTGGGAATGACACAGGTTAGGAGGGTGCAGGTAGCATCATCCCAGCCCGCATCCCTTGTTCTGGACCAACCAGCACACACCTTGGTTTCTGGGGGCAGGAGGATGCTGGTGACCTCTACCAGGACAAGGACAAGTGCAGTGAGGCCCAAGGTGGCGGCAATCCCCAGAAGGGCGGTGAGGACCCTCTCCTTCATGGATAGTCCCATGCTGGCACCTACAGTGGGCACAACAGTGATTTTCAGATACCACCTGCTGCTCTTCCCTCACTCATCTGAAGGAACGAGCTCAGCACATCCAGTGTAAAAAACCCCAAGGTTTGTTTCTTTAAAACAAAATTTCTCTTTAGGTTCCTTATTTCTGCTTATCGTTAAGTTTAAGAGATGCTGCTGTTTTCAGACATGTCTGTAGAAGAGCTTAAGAAATAGTATCATTAAAACTAGCTCAGCAGGCTGTAACAGCAGATTCCAGTAATGATTGTTTAAGGGACTCCAGAAAAAGGATCTTGCAAATGTTTGCAAAACTTAAAAAGACCATATTAGAAAATAGTTTGAAAGTAACTCAAGAAATCAGTTAGTCAATTACAGTTATGTAAGGGTATTCTAAAACTGTGATGTTGGGCATGATTTAAAATGTCTGTCCTGAGTCTAAATCTAAATCAAACCTCCATTGTTATACTACACTTGTCCAAAGTACTTTCTGCTTTCCTAAAGCGTGTAATTTCTTATATTGATTTACTTTTCTTTATAACTTTTGTCAATTGAGTGCAGGTTTACAGAGCAGATCATCAATTTTACATTCAACAAATCCTACACTTTGTTTCCTTTCAATGATTGCAATCCCGCCCATGTAACAATAGTTCGCCCACTTCCTCCCTGAAGTTCTATCCCCATTCCACCCTCTCTCCCAGATCTTCTCAATTTTGTCCTTAGGTAAATGTTGCCCTTTTGATCTTAAACGATTTACCATTCTCTGGTGAGCAGACCTTACTAATGTTGTTCCCCCTATATATCTCTGCTGCTTGGTTGAAAATTGCTCTACAAGGATGAATTCCTTTCCAGACCTGAAGGGTGACTAGAGTATTGGGTTCCTCTAGTCCCTTTCTGAACAGTAAACTTGGTCTTTTTTTTTTTTTTTAATAATTTTTAGTTTTGTTCCACATTTTCTCCCACCTTATCTGGGACCCTCTAATGTGATCCCTTTCAAACCAGTTGGTAGTGGTAACTGGGCACCATCTAGTTCTTCTGATCTCAGAGTTGCGGAGATAGATGTTCATCTGTTCCATTAGTCCATTGCACTAGTTGGCTCTAAGCATCTTCAATTTTCAACATTCTCCTTTCTTCCGCACACGGAGAAACCAGTATTACACCTGAGATGGCTGCTCATGAGTAAGACTCAAGAGCAGATTTGATGTATTAGGGACTAATGACTAAAGACCAGGGGAGTTACAGGATGACATCAAGAACATCACACAGGAAGAAAGCAGCAGGTCATTTAAAATACAGAAAAGAAAGAAAAAACCAAAATGGATGTCACTAGAGACTTTGAAATGTGCTCTTGAATGTGGAGAAGCTAAAATGACTAGAAGAATGATAAAGTAAGAAAAGCTGAACAGAAAATTTGAAAGGGCAGCTCGAGAAGACAAAGCATTATAATGAAATGTGCAAAGACCTGGAGCTGGAAAACCAAAATGGAAGAACATTTCTCAAGCTGAAAGAACTGAAGAAGAAATTCAAGCCTCGACTTGAAATATTGAAGGATTCTCTGGGCAAGCTTTGAATGATGCAGAAAGCGTCAGAAAAAGATGAAAGAATACAAAGTTACTAAACCAAAAAGAATTGGTTGGTGTTTAACCATTTCAGTAAGTAGCATCTGATCAAGAACCAGTGTTACTGAAGGAAGAAGTCCAAGCTACACTGAGGCGTTGGTGAAAAGCAAGGCCCCAGGAACTGACGCCATCCAAATGGAAACTTTCAACAAACTGATGCAGCACTGGAGGCACTCACTCATGTATGTCAAGGAATTTGGAAAACAACTACCTTGCCAACTGATTAGAAGAGATTCATATTTGTGCCCATTCCAGAGACAGGTGATCCAACTGAATGTGGAAATCATTGAAGAGTATTATTAATATCATATGCAAGTAACCTTTTGCTGAAGATAATTTTAAAAACAGTTTCAACAGTGTATCCACAGGGAACTGCCAAAAATTCAAGCTGGAAATTCGGAAGAGGACCTAGAACAGGGGATATCATTGCTGGTGTCACATGGATCTTGGCTGAAGGGACAGACTATCAGCAAGACGCTTACCTGTGCTTTACTGACCAAGCAAAGGTTCTGACTGTGTAGATCATGACAACTATGGACAACAGTGTGAAAAATGCAAATTCCAGAACACTTCATTGTGTTCATGAGGAACCCATTCACAGACCAAGAGGCAGTCATTCAAACCGAATAAGGGAACAATGAATCCTTTAAAATCAAGAAAGGTGTGCCCCAGGGTTATATCATTTCACCATACTTGTGGTGCTGTGGGTTAATGCGCCAGACTGTAAAGCCGTTTGAACTGCAAGCTTGGCGGTTCAAGCTCACCAGCTGCTCCTCAGAAACCCTATGGGTCGGGATCGACTCGACAGCACCTCACAACAACAACAACATTCAATGTGTACAATAAGCAAATAGTCCGAGAAGCTGGATTCTATGAAGAAGAATGTGGTATCAGGATTGGAGGAAGACTCATTAGCAACCTGAGATATGCAGATGGTGCAACCTTGCTTGCTGAAAGTGATGAGGATTTAAAACGTTTACTCATGAAGATCAAAGTCTACAATCTGTAGTATGGATTGTGCCTAAATGAAAAGAAAATGAAAATCCTCACAATTTGACCACTAAATAACATCATGATAAATGGAGAAAAGATTGGAGTTGTCAAAGACTTCCTTTTGCTTGGATCCACAATCAGCACTCATGGAAGCTGCAGTCAAGAAATCACAGGATGTATCGCATCAGGCAAATCCGCTGTAAAAGACTTCTTTTAAAAAGTGTATAAGGGCCAAGATATCAGTTTGAAGAATATAGTGTGTCTTACTGAAGCTCTGTGTTTCGATGTGAAAGTTGAACAACGAATAAGGCAGAGTATAGAAGAACCTATGCATTTGAATTATAATGCTGGTGAAGAATATTGAAAGTACCCTGGGCTGCTGGAGGAACAAATCTGTCTTGGTAGAAATACACCCAGAATGCTCCTTAGAATTAAGGATGGTGAGATTTGGCCTCTTGTCCCTGGAGAAAGACGTCGTGCTTGGAAACGTGCAGGGTCAGCCAAGAGAGGAAGATCCCAATGAGGCGGGTTGACAGTGGCAAAAAAACAAATGGGCTCAGAGGTAACACAACTGTGAGAATTGTGCTGGGCCAGGCTGTGTTTCATTCTGTTGTGCACATAGTCACGATGAGTCAGAACCAACTTGTAACCATATGGGATTCCTAGGCCTTGTCATTATTATTCCCAGACCCCCTTCCCCACTTTTCTGTATAAAGGCTTGCCTCGCCCTCAAAATGTCCAAGCATTTTACTGAACACCACTAAGTGTGATCCCTCTTCAAATTGTTCTATTCCTCAGATAAAACTCTTTGCTTTAATTTTGACAGATACTCCCATTTGCTCTGACATTTCTTAGTGTCAGAAGTAAGATTCAAGCGCATTACTTGTAGCTCCCTGAGGACTTGAGCACCAGGCAGCGCTGTTTGAACTCGCCTCTCCATAAGCTTCTCACGTATCTCACTGCCACGTAATTAACCTCTTAAATTTTGAGCGCCACCTTCTTGTATTGAGCTCTTCAAGACTTATTGAAGGATCTGATTTCATTTCGTCCTTGTTGGCTTTGTCTTGTCTTATCTGTTTTCGTTCTGGTCTTACAAGAATTCACCTTAGCTCAGGGCAGTAATAGAGATTCTGGATTTGTGCTAAACATTGTCGTAGACGTTTTGATGTTTGTGGACTCTCCAGCTCCATAATCCATAAACCAAAGACACAGGTTAACTGGTTAAAAGTCATGAGGGTGGCCACCAGCTGCAGACGTAACTAAAGGCTAATGTGACAGGGTAAGATGGTTCAGAAGACAGCTCAGAAGTAGTAGGATGCCATTCACAAGACAATGTCCCTGTAACTCAACAAATTTAACAATACACTGTCCAGTCATTGTGGCTCTCATGATCGTGATTTCACTGAGTCTCAGAGTCCTAAACTTTGAATAAACCTGGACTTTCTTTGAAAATGAGAAATGCCCTATCAACAGGCAATGCAGAGACCCCTGCTCAGTGTATGACCGGCTCTATGGTTCTTCGGGTGCACAAATCTGTTTGAACTTCCCTCTCAAGGACAGTCTGAAATGTGACTACTTTGGAGTTCTTTTGAATGATCTAAGTTATGTTTCCTGCACAGGAAATTTGAATGACTAATTTATAAGGATCAGCACAGGGTGGTTCCTGTGAGGCAGAGGTTAAAGATGTAATGGTTCCTATGAGGGAGCGATTATGACCTTTCTAAACGTCTGTACCACTCCATCATCTCTAACACCAACTCAGTACCCCCCTCCCATTTTGGAGTTCTATAATACACTACAACATTTCAGAGAACTCACAAACTATCAAGGGAATGGGTCAAATGGTTGTGAAGTCTTATTGTTGTTAAGTGCTGTTGAAGTTTGGCAAGTCCCAAATCCTTGGGTCTGACATCAGGCTGGAAGCTTCTGACTCACGTGGTTGCAGGGGTTGACAAACTCAAATTGCAGGTCAGATGACAGGCTGCTGGTTCACAAGGTCAGGAGGTAGGTTGCTGACTCAAGAACCAGAGGTCAGATAATGATGAGCTGGATGCAGCATCCAAAGCAAGAAAGGGACCTTTCCAGAACATTCATGCATATATTGAATGTAGACCATACCCCAAGGAACCTCTTTTTACTTGAGCAAGGTAATGCAGGTGTAACTTTAATTCGGGTGATAAGGGTGATGACTGAGGAAAGGGTGGGGACTTGAGTCACACTCTCTAGTAAGTCAGTGACTCAAGATACATCCCACCCTAATCCTGCCTCATTAATACAATAAACAACTCATTCCAAATGGCACCACAACCACAGACACGGAGGCTAGAATTTATAACAAATCATAGAACGGATAATTACACCACATCACAAAATGGAGGATGACCTACC